TCCGCGAAGTTGACGCCCGGCGCGAAGTCGAAGAAGCGATCTTTGGACCTGAACCCCGCCCGCGCCGCTCTCGGCTCCAGATCGCCGCTGGCGGCAAACACCCCGTGTCAAGCGTATCGCTCTCGCCCATCTGCTCCGGGTACACGTCGCCGTCCCGGGCGGCTACCCACCACACGGGGAGTCCAGGCTCGCTCGGGAACTCTCCGATCTGCTGAGCCATCATCTGCGCTGTCGTCTCCCTGATGAACAAGCGCGCGTGCCACTCGCGGTCGCGGTAGTGCAACTTGACCTTCTGGCCGGCACGAAACATGGTTCCCAATGTCGTAGAAACACCCTACGCAGCAACACGTGAGCCCTACGCCCACAGCGAGCCCGACCAGCACACCCACGAAGAAGATGCCCCACTTCAAGGCGCTGCTCCCGAGGGTGTACTCCTCAGCGGCGCACCTCGTGAGGGTACCAGCCGCCTGCTGGGCTGCGTTCGAGATTGCGTCCGAGGCCAAGACGTTCAGAGCTAGGCGCCCGACGGAAAGGAGGCTCGCAAACATAAAGGTGACCGCCCAGCGTCTGGCTCCTATAGCCAGAAAAAAGCTTGAGCCAGACCGACGGAAGGTGCACAACCCTGTCGGTCAGAGGCTCAACGGCGAATCATTCTCTCTGTCACACCTGGATAAATCCTCAGATATATACACATATATATATATATGTTTATATATGTGTGTATATATATATATATATATATATCGCTCTCCCCCTCTTCTGTGGCACGGCCCCATTGCACGTCCTCGTTTTTCTCTCTCTCTCTCTCGTCCTCTCTCTCTCTCTCTTTCTCTCTCCCTCTCTTTTTCTCTGATCCTCACTCTCTTTCTTTCTCTTTCTCTTTCTCTTGCTCTTTCTCTCTCTCTCTCTCTCTCTCTCTCTCTATTGTCCCTCTCGTTCTTTATATGAGTTCCTCTCTCGTGTCCTCTCTCTCTCGTCTGACGACGACAACGACGGCGCCGACAGCGGTGCTGTGGCTCCTCGCGCTCAGGCTGACCGATCGGGAACCTACCTCGGCGCTGGCCCTGGCCTGCACCCCATCTCCCGAAGACAACCTCGCTAGCGCCCTCGTCGCCGCCTGGGGCGGCGACCCCCCTGTCCACCACGACGACGGCCCCCTCGGGCTGGGCGGAAATGGATGCGGCGATCACGAACCCCCGACGGGGTCGGCGCTGCCGCACCAAACCAGCGGCAGCGC